ACTAAGACTGTAGTCATGGGCACACTTCCTGGAAAAACTCCATTAAACAGAGTGGATTTATTTCTGAGTAGTTACCTATGATACTTTGGCATAAAAAAGTCATTTTCCAGAACACTTTTTATAGCAATAGCTGCAATGATGCTTTTAATAGTTTCCTATAAATACTTTTAATAATTTCCAATATGAAATAATTTCAGTGCTAAATCACTCTGATTGCAAATGTTGTCCATATGTCAGCAGAAATATATACTCTTTAAATTAAATTAGATTATATACATAGAAATCCCTTGAGTGCAAATTATTTTTTCTTCTTATTTTGATGGTAAATAGAGAATATTAAGTAGTTGGTTCCCGCTAACCAAAATACTCTTTCACCTCCTGCCCCACTAGTGAAAAATATCTGCTCCAAATTTTGTATATGTGTATGTCCACAGCTGTGCATTAATACATTTTCATCTGTGGATCATAGCTTTGCTTTGAGGAAACTTTGGCAATATTTTCAGTGATTTTATTACTATACCCATCATATTGTGTTTAAATTATTAAACATTTACATAAAACCTTTAGATTAAAGAATTTCAGTAAGGAATGAAGAAATGATATTTGGGGAGAAAATAACTTTAACAGCTACTTCAGTTCAAGCCTAGTAAACTCAGCTTATTTAGATTCATCACTATATATCATGTTTTGTTTAAATTATTAAAATGTGTACATACAACATATAGGATAAAGAATTTCAGTAGGGAGTAAATAAATGATATTTGGGCGAAATAGCTGTAACAGTTACTTCAGCCCAAACATAGTGAACTAGCTTATTTCATAAAACTTCAAATTGATATAAACAGTATTGCTGAGAGGGATTCATTCTGGTCACTTTTTTCTTTAAAATATTGCTTTTTCCTCTATCTGTGCCTTTAGGTAATACAATATGCTAAAAGCTTTAGTATAAATTAAGTCATGTGGTGCTTTATATGCTCATGAAAATTCTATGACGATTTAGCAAACTTTCTGGCATGTCCATCCAACTGATTTACAAAGTCTTCTCTCCCCCACCCCACCTCTTGGTCTCTTTCTTTGTTAAAAGTTTCCAGGTATTTCCTACATGGCATTAGTTATAAAAACAGAGTATATGTCAACTTTGACATCTGTTAAGGAACAGGAGATTTAGTCAAAACGCAGAGAGAGACCAGAACAAATGATTAGCAAAGAAAACAGATTTAAAAGCAAAGAATTTACTGCTTGGAAAAATGAGCATTCATTTCTAGTTTTAAGAAGTCTTTTCAGCAGATGGTGAATTCAGTAACTGTTTTTTGTACCTGAAAGAATATTTATGAATATTCTTAAGAATATTTACATTTGAAAGAATATTTATGAAATTTTGTATAACTGGTAAGAAAAGCAACCTACAATTAGCCAAATAACTAGCAAAAGCTTTTTTCAGTAACCTTTACACAATGTTATATCCCAGTATTAAGGACACACACTGGAAGTTAATCCTCTTAATTTTAATGTGACTCAGCATTCTTGCAGATTGCCAGAGTGCTAGAAATTGCTAAAATGTGGAAGAACTCCAGACCAAATGAAATCTAGGAGAATGATCTGCTTAGAAGGATTTCTGGAAACAGAAGCAAAATATTGTAAGTGGGCTCAGAAAGTAGCATGTAGGGCAGACCTAGAGCAGCATAAGGACAACATGAAGCCACCTAACTTCTATGGTTCAAGCCTCTGATATATCAATCAAGAAACATCACTGTTGAACTATCAAGATTCTACATCATATATCCCGAAACTTCACTAGGTCCCCTATGAGATGCCCAGAAACCTCAGTTGCAGTGAGAGGATAGCAGGGTCACTGACACAAGAAACTTCAAACCACTGTCAGAGAGGCTCACAATGAGGAGCCATATTTACTATCCATAGTTACTATTTCTACAATGGGTGGAGTACATTCTGTTTCTGTTCTAAAAATTATGGCAATAGTGGGTTGTCTGCACACAGAATGAGACAAAATTTGCCTAACTTAGAAGAAGCAGCTCTCTATTTCTTTTATTCCATCATAGTTTTATTTAGAAGTTTTCTCTCTATCATGGTGTTATTATTTTATTATATAAAGAAGAATGGCCTCTTTGTATAATTGTGCAACTAATGTAACAAGACTTAAGTCTGAAAGGAATGGTGCTTGGTAAAGCTGTATAAGACATGGGGCTTTAGCAACTTTTGAAAGGAATGTCAGCCCATTGGTAAAAAGAAAAAAGGGAAAACTCTGCTCTCTTCTGCTTCCCTTTGTGTCTTCCTAATAAATTTATTGCAGCTGGAGGTCTTGCATGAACAATTCTCAGCAAAACATAGGGATGCGAAGATTGCAGGCAGATTTTGGCCCAGAAATTTGGTGCTGGAAACCTTCTAAAATGAATGGGAGTTTTTCAAAAATAGGGCTCAAAATCCCTGTACTCTTCAGTGAGCCTCCATGGGCCTCCTGGTTGATTCTTCCTGGAGCCTTTCCATTTCCTATTCCAATGATATATCAGAGAAAGGGCAAAGATTACTAGAAGTCATTCTTTTACTGGCAGCCATTTTACACTTGGAGTGCCTAACAAGTTCCTCTAACTGGCAGTAAGAATAAGGTAAAGATTTCAGGAAGCCATTACTACTGATCCATTCTCTTCATCATCAAGCAGAAACTTCTAAAAGTATAACACAATGAGAATTTCCAGCAACCTAAATAATATTGCTGAAGTATAAAAAGGAAGTACTATATCCTTCTCTAGCACAGTTTTTCTAGAGTTTTGGAGCCACATGCAATGGTGAAGGCTGTTGATATAAATGTTAATAACAGAAGTTTCTTTGTTGCAAGTAAAGCTTGTGAAGTTAAAAGGCTAGTTCACACCTGGCTTTTTAACTCACACACAGACACAAAATATTCATAGTGCTAGTAAACAGAAATAAATGTTTTGATACTGTTTTAACCAAGTAAAGTTTGCATTTTGAAAAGTAACTCTATATCCTGTTTTCTGCTCAGATTCTCTTTCAGTCCTAAACAAAGCCCGGGATGTAACCCAGCTGGATTTTCTTTTCTGCAAACCATGTTAGAAAGAGTGAGATTTGGGTGCACAGTTGTGCTCTTTCTCATCTCCCATTCTTTTCATGTACATTTTCCTAACAAGATGCTTGTGATGAGTTGCAATATGTGGCTCTTAGGTTTAAGTGGTTATCTTGTTGCACGTTTCATTGAATCTTCTAAAGCAGATCTGCCAAGCCACTTTAGAATAATACTTTTTGATAAATCAAAACAGCTCTAAATATTTCCACTGGCAAAAATAGTGAGTAGGAAGCACAAAAGAAAAGAAAATGGACTTCATAAAGTGAGACAAAGAAACAATTCATGCCCTTAGAACATTTAGAATAACAGCAACCTGTAATGATAAATATTGGATCAAGGATGTCATACAGAAACAATAGCCTGGAGCTCTTTTTTTAGCCTAAACACAAAAGAGGGTTTGAATCTTCCACAAGAAAACAGCAGCTTCAACAATCCTAAACTGTTCCTCCTTTCTTTTGTTTCTTGTTACTTTTTCTCTTTTTTCTTTAACAACATTTTCCAGCCTTAAAGCTATTCCTTTAGTTAAGGAAACAGACAAACTCAATAATGTTGTTTTCTCACTTGGCTTAATTAGAAACCTCACCAAAGACATAACTGAATTAGCATCAGTGTTGCTCTTAGATGCAGTTTGTTATCTGGTTCTTATGATTTCCATGAAAGGAGTTCAGTGTAAGTCCAGAATTATTTCTGTTTAACCAAACAGCATGACTTTGTGCTACCTAACTAAAAAATAATAATTCAGTAACCTAAAGTAATCTGAATATTTTCCCATTAATGATTATTTTGGCCAATAACCCCAAAGGTAGCAATACAAATCCTCAGATGGATGCAAGAATCTGTTTTTTCCCTTGAGATTATGGTTGTAATAATCACAACTTCATGTAATGGGTTTAGGAATTAGATTTCTCTAAGAGGTTTGAGCATTGGACTATGACAATGGAAACCAGGGTTCAAATCCCAGCTCAGGTATGTAAACCTATTGGGTGACCTTTGGCAAATCACAGTGTCTCAGCCTCAGAGGATGGCAATGGCAAACCCCCTTTGAAGAAACTTGCTGAGTAAACCCCATCATGGGTTCACCTTAGGTTCACCATAAGTTGGAAATGACTTGGAAGGAAACAGCAACAACAACAACAAAGTCTGTTAGGGAAGATGCCTTATAGAATCTACAGACCTAAATATAGTTTATCTCAGGGTTGAGGAAGGTGTGGCTATTGAGATGTTGCAGACCACAGCTCCCATCAGTCCTAACCAGCATATCCACCACTGGTGAGGTATGGTAAAACATACAGTCCAGCAACATCTAGAGTGCCATAAGTTGTGCATCCCTAGTTCACTACTTCTATGTAGGCAAACTGAACATTGAGTTAATTGTATGGTTTATAGGCAGCCATGTAATGCCAGAGGATTGTTTTAAAGAAATCGTGTTAGCAGTGGTGATCTGGTTTTGATTTGGGACCATAGCATGTAAGGAAGGAATGTTTAACTCCTCCACCCACATACACACACACACACTAAAGTGGGGCTGCTCAAAAGAAGATATTGGTTTTGATACATTTGAGGGCTTCCTAGGTATACAGAATATATATGCAGTTTTTAAAATTACGAAAAGCCCTATGCATTTTAAAGCCCTTAGTGAATCCACAGCCTGAAAAATGCAGATTACATAGAGAAAGCAACATTCTAGAGCATACATGTGAAATACTGACTTCTGAATCCTATATCGCCCAGAGGAAGTGACAAAACCACTCTGAGTATTCCTTGCCTAAGAAAAACCCTATGAAAT